CATGTGTATTGATTGGACTACAATATCGGGATATGTTGTATCATGTGTATTGATTGGAGTACATTATCGGGATATGTTGTATCATGTGTATTGATTGGAGTACATTATCGGGATATGTTGTGTAATGCGTATTGTTTGGAGTACATTATCGGGATATGTTGTATAGTGCGTATTGTTTGGAGTACATTATCGGGATATGTTGTATAGTGTGTATTGGTTTGAGAACATTATCGGGATATGTTATATAAAATGTATTGATTGGACTACAATATCGGGATATGTTGTATCATGTGTATTGATTGGACTACAATATCGGGATATGTTGTATCATGTGTATTGATTGGAGTACATTATCGGGATATGTTGTGTAATGCGTATTGTTTGGAGTACATTATCGGGATATGTTGTATAGTGCTTATCGATTGGAGTACATTATCGGGATATGTTGTATAATGTGTATTGTTTGGAGTACATTATCGGGATATGTTGTGTAATGCGTATCGATTGGAGTACATTATCGGGATATATTGTACATTGTCTATTGTTAGGATTTCATTATCGGGATATGTAGTATAGTCTGTGTGTATTGGTTTGAGAACATTATCGGGATATGTTATGTAATGTGTATTGATTGGAGTACATTTTCGGGATATGTTGTATAGTGAGTATTGGTTGGAGAACATTATCGGGGTATGTTGTATAGTGAGTATTGGTTGGAGAACATTATCGGGGTATGTTGTATAGTGAGTATTGTTTGGAGTTCATTTTCGGGATATGTTGTATAGTGTGTATTGTTTGGAGAACATTATCGGGATATGTTGTATAGTGTGTATTGTTTGGAGTACATTTTCGGGATATGTTGTATAGTGTGTATTGTTTGGAGTACATTTTCGGGATATGTTGTATAGTGTGTATTGTTTGGAGTACATTTTCGGGATATGTTGTATAGTGTGTATTGTTTGGAGTACATTTTCGGGATATGTTGTATAGTGTGTATTGTTTTGAGTACATTTTCGGGATATGTTGTATAGTGTGTATTGTTTGGAGTACATTTTCGGGATATGTTGTATAGTGTGTATTGTTTTGAGTACATTTTCGGGATATGTTGTATAGTGTGTATTGTTTGGAGTACATTTTCGGGATATGTTGTATAGTGTGTATTGTTTTGAGTACATTTTCGGGATATGTTGTATAGTGTGTATTGTTTGGAGTACATTTTCGGGATATGTTGTATAGTGTGTATTGTTTGGAGTTCATTATCGGGATATGTTGTATAGTGTGTATTGTTTGGAGTACATTTTCGGGATATGTTGTATAATGTGCATTGATTGGAGTACATTTTCGGGATATGTTGTATAGTGTGTATTGTTTTGAGTACATTTTCGGGATATGTTGTATAGTGTGTATTGTTTGGAGTTCATTATCGGGGTATGTTGTATAGTGTGTATTGTTTGGAGTTCATTATCGGGATATGTTGTATAGTGTGTATTGTTTGGAGTACATTTTCGGGATATGTTGTATAATGTGCATTGATTGGAGTACATTTTCGGGATATGTTGTATAGTGTGTATTGTTTGGAGTACATTTTCGGGATATGTTGTATAATGTGCATTGATTGGAGTACATTTTCGGGATATGTTGTATAGTGTGTATTGTTTGGAGTTCATTATCGGGATATGCTAAATAATGTGTATTGATTGAAGTACATTATCGGGGTATGTTGTTTACTGTGCATTGATTGGACTACAATATCGGGATATGTTGAACGATGTGTATTGATTGAAGTACATTACCGGGATATGTTGTATAATGTGCATTGATTGGAGTACATTATCGGGACATGTTGTATAATTAGGAGATAAACATACTGTGTTTTCAATGTAGAGCTAGGTTAGCTGTAGATTTAACCGCGGTAAATTTAACATTTAATACCTCACGCGCGCTGCGCACAGTATGTTTATCTCCATTCTACCATGACTAAATAAAACGCGAACTCTTTGGTGTTAGCAAATATATTGTGTGTATTGTTTGGAGTTCATTATCGGGATATGTTGTATAGTGTGTATTGTTTGGAGTACATTTTCGGGATATGTTGTATAGTGTGTATTGTTTTGAGTACATTTTCGGGATATGTTGTATAGTGTGTATTGTTTGGAGTACATTTTCGGGATATGTTGTATAGTGTGTATTGTTTTGAGTACATTTTCGGGATATGTTGTATAGTGTGTATTGTTTGGAGTACATTTTCGGGATATGTTGTATAGTGTGTATTGTTTGGAGTTCATTATCGGGATATGTTGTATAGTGTGTATTGTTTGGAGTACATTTTCGGGATATGTTGTATAATGTGCATTGATTGGAGTACATTTTCGGGATATGTTGTATAGTGTGTATTGTTTTGAGTACATTTTCGGGATATGTTGTATAGTGTGTATTGTTTGGAGTTCATTATCGGGATATGTTGTATAGTGTGTATTGTTTGGAGTACATTTTCGGGATATGTTGTATAATGTGCATTGATTGGAGTACATTTTCGGGATATGTTGTATAGTGTGTATTGTTTGGAGTACATTTTCGGGATATGTTGTATAATGTGCATTGATTGGAGTACATTTTCGGGATATGTTGTATAGTGTGTATTGTTTGGAGTTCATTATCGGGATATGCTAAATAATGTGTATTGATTGAAGTACATTATCGGGGTATGTTGTTTACTGTGCATTGATTGGACTACAATATCGGGATATGTTGAACGATGTGTATTGATTGAAGTACATTACCGGGATATGTTGTATAATGTGCATTGATTGGAGTACATTATCGGGACATGTTGTATAATTAGGAGATAAACATACTGTGTTTTCAATGTAGAGCTAGGTTAGCTGTAGATTTAACCGCGGTAAATTTAACATTTAATACCTCACGCGCGCTGCGCACAGTATGTTTATCTCCATTCTACCATGACTAAATAAAACGCGAACTCTTTGGTGTTAGCAAATATACTGAGTGAAGCGGCATGAGTTGACTCCAGTATTTTGAGTGAGTTATCGATCTGAATTACGGAATCACCGAACAACATGTGGCGCTGTGTATACTCAAGCAGTTTATTTACACCATAATACTTCACTCGAACATATGACAGACATTGAAAGCATATGAGCATGGCAACTTGGTAAGCTAACATGAGGTGGGCATCCCTAACGAAAACAAACCAAGCTTTGCAAGGCTTTCGCTCTACATCGCGCGTCACCATTATGACGTCATGTCGCTAATTGTGACGCAAAAGATATGACGTCACAGTGGTATAAAGAAAAGCGCCAAAATTCCAAGTTCTCTGTTGTCTCCAAACATAAATACATTCCCTTTGTAGATTTCTATCGTGTTTTCTGCACGAAATGTATTGCCACCCATCCTTTGAATATTGTAGTAACTGTATCTGTGCATATTGTAACCTGTAATTGTAGATATAATTATTTAAATATGCCTACCGACAATGACTGAAAATAGTAGTAGTACTATGAATATTAGCTTCCATGGTGATGCGGCCTTCAAACCAGCTCTTTCAATCAGAGGGGGTTTATTGTGATTTAATACCCTCTGATTGACCAATCAGTATCGAGTAAATTCCAAATTCATGGTAGAATGTGCACTGATAGGAGTACATTATCGGGATATGTTGTACAGTGTGTATTGACTGGAGTACATTATCGGGATATGTTGTATAGTGCATGTGTATTGTTTGGAGAACATTATCGGCATATAATTCCCTTGTACTGCACAGAACTCCAACGCGATCATCCGTTTAACCAGATGCTTCAGCTGTGTTTTTAAGCAGAATGGGGTAAAGAGAAGATGCGGCGCGTGACAATCGGGTATCGACGAGGCGGTGTTGTCTTACAGACGGATCATCAAGACTCTAAAGCTAATTTCGTTGCACACCCAGATTTTGAGACAACTGAAAGTACATTTTTTTGTATTAAGTCTTTGAGTGTCTTTTAGAAGTGATACATTTTAGAGAGAGAATGTGTAGATGTCAACGTCTTTATTATGAGGAACCGAACGTTTCGGACTAAACGCTTTCTCCTTCATCCAGCGAATGAATGCTAGGATGCAGAGGGCATATATATGAAAATGAGAAGACAACACAAGTTATGGAGGTGGAAACCTAACAGTGAATTGGCGCTGATTGCTTATTAGCCAGGGACAAATTGAAGACAAAAGTATAATAAGCACTGATTGCCAATGCGCAATGGACAAACTGTAGTCAGCTCAACGCTTAGGTGAGGTGAGGTGAGGTGAGGGTTTAAATGGGGTTTAACGTCGCGTCCAAGATTACTGCACTTATATAGCGACGTGCATGTACGTGTGTGTGTTTGTGTGGCTGATTGTACTAGTCCGGACTGATGCCGATTTATAGTGCTAGCTCACTGAGATACCATGCCGCAGTTTCACATGAATACCCCACTCAGACACAGTATACTGACTACGAGCCGACCAGTCCTTGTTTTAGCCCCTTAATGCCGAGCGCCAGACAGGGTGACAATAAGTACCATCTTTTAACGTCTTTTGGTATGACGCGGCCGGGGATCGAACCCCGGACCTTCCGCTCTCCGGGCGGACGCTCTACCACTAGACCACAGAGGCGGTCCTCACGCTTAGGGGAAATAAAAAGGAATAATGAGTACTTATCGTAATTCATGTTGGTTGGTTGGATTGTTGTTTAGTGCCGCAATATTCCATTATCTTTGGCGGCGGTCAGTAAATAATCAAGTATGGACCAGACAATCCAGTGATTAATATCATGAGCATCGATCCACGCAATCGGGGTCGATGACATGCATCAACCAAGTCAGCGAGCCTGACCACCCGATCCCGTTAGTCGTCTTTTACGACAAGCATATATCGTAACTTATGTATTATTAGGGTTCATATAGTTCAAACCCTTTTAATCGAGAAACAATTATAGCCAGGAAAATCTCAATAAATACAAAAGACAGAACTTCTAAAAATGTTTTTGTTAATCCGGATATTTGTTAAGCATGACCTTTCCACTTGCAATGACACCGTCGGGTTCACTCTATAACCGTTTCGTCCTTCCGCTACGTCACACATTGATGCTCGTTTACCAGTGCTATGTCTAGAAGCAGTTACAGATGCACTGAAGAAACAGAAGAACAAAAAGCAATTTTATTTAAAAAAAGACAGTTTTCATATGCTAGTAGGTAGTACTTCAAACTGTTGTGCGCAAGCTATGACGCCTTGATAGTCTGTCTTATTCTTGCATCTATAGGGGCGGTGGAGTAGCCGTGTGGTGAACGCGTTCGCTCGTCATTCCGAAGGCCATGACACTATTCTTCACACAGATACAATGTGTGAAGCCCATTCCTGGTGACCCACGCCGTGATATTGCTGGAATACTGTTAAAGCGGCGTAAAACCACACTCACTCACAACCATCGCGATAGCCCAAATTTCAGGCAAGGGGCGTCCCGATTTATAAGGTTAATGGAGTTTCATTTAAAGAGGGCTAACATATAGGAGTCTGAAAAGAACGAGCACAGCTGGAATCTAATTATATTTAATCTCATGAAGTTTTTATTCTGATTACCTTCCTGATATGACTATATGGTCGGTTTGCCATCAATGAAAAACTTCACCGCCCCCAGATAGCAGGGTACAACCACAAAGCGATCACAGTGCTAAGACGATCTTAACTTTAATACTTGCACATATCCTTACGACAGCCGCAGCTATCGCACAGATCGCACAGTGGAACGGAACCCGTGAGCCTGGTAACTGCGAGTGATTCAGTGAGTATGGTTTTATGCCGCTTTGAGCAATATTCCAGCAATATCACGGCGGAGGACACCAGAAATGGGCTTCACACATTGTACCCATGTCGGGAATCGAACCCGGGTCTTCGGCTTGACGAGCCAACGCTTTAACCACTAGGCTACCCGACCGCCCCTGGTAACTGCGAAGGTGTTAAATATATTCATGACAGTAGAACTCACCAGACAGATCCAGACAATTATCCACGGAAAGAAGAATATGGTAATCACGAAGTGAAGGCAATGGTTAACATATCTGAAATCAACGGAAGCACATCTCTAAATAGAATTCGTTATATTGGAACTGAAGACGTTCGAGTCTTGACCAGGAAAATGTAGTGTTCACCAACCAGGAATATTAAAGCGACAGCTCCTTGTTGGTCATGTGTAATACTGACTGTAGAAGACACATACATCGTAAATAGGGGTGTCTGTGCACAAACTGTTTTGAGTGAGTGAGTGAGTATGGTTTTACGCCGCTTTTAGCAATATTCCAGCAATATTATGGTGGGGGACACCAGAAATGGGCTTCAAACATTGTACCCATGTCGGGAATCGAACCCGGGTCTTCGGCGTGACGAGCGAACGCTTTAACCACAAGGCTACCCGACAGCCCCCAAACTGTTTTCACCAGCTCGTTTAAGACTTGGATGCAATGAACAGTCATAGAGTTGAAATATTTCAAATATTCCAGCATGTCAGTGTGGTCCCCCCTTCCCTTCCTCTTTACTTTTTCGACTTTTAACATGAGAAGCACTATGCACTACAACACAAAGGGTTAACTTTGGATCTGAAACCAGCATTGTAGGCAACAAGCAGTTAACATGAGATGTTAACCACAAGATACTTATGTCTGTCCATGAATTATAGAAAATTGCGGTTGGTTTGTACATTGAGTAAAATATATATGTAAAGAGAACACGCATATGACTATTTATGATAACACGAGTGAGTGAGTGGGTTGGGTTTAACGCCGCTTTTAACAGTATTCCAGTTATATCGCGGCGTGTCAGCTTAATGTGGGAGGAAAGCCCGAAGTGATGCAGGTCTCAGACGTTTATCACTTCGGTGAAACCCACGAGCACGGGTATGGTGCTGACAGACCTAGAAACATAATCGGGGCGAACCGGGATTCGAACCCACGAACCCATAGGTTTCTGGCGTGCCCAAGGGACGCAACTCTGCACAGCAAATGGCGGCGCCTTAGACTGGGCCAGTTGGTAACATGAGTGGTCTTCTTATTGTATAATTTGTATTCTATCTTGACTTTAAAGTTTTGGTGTTAACACAAATGTAATAATGTAACAGGGAGTGGTATCGACATGAGCAAGTTAGGCCTATTTACCAATCCCTTTGAAGTTGAAAATATACTAAACCGCAAAAGAAACGTCACTCCAAGTAACATTGCATGCAAAGTTGTCATTTAAATATCTGGGTAATTTTGGTCAAAGATTCGAAAATTCAACATTACCTTGTCTGGAAAAATGAAATTTGATGATAAAAAACAAGGCAGATGACAATAAAACCGATCGCCCAAAATGCATCACGTCAACGGCCATGGTTACATGATGCACGTGAGTTCCGTGCACATTGAAAGACACATGCTTTGACCCATTTCTTGCCCTATAAAAATCCACCAAAATCGGATAACATTCATTCGTTATTGAATTGCTACCACATGCCAAGATTGACAAGAAATTAGCGACACCAAGCCCTTGGACGATTGCAAGCTGGACAAACCGCTCGGCAAGTAGCCAATGCAATTCAAGTCCACGTAAGGACCATATACAGGCTCCAGCAACGGTACCAGACCACCAACACTACAGATGACCGACCACGTAGTGGAAGACCGAGGGTCACCACCCGACGTCAGGATCGTCAGATTGTGCGATAGCATCTTCAAGATCGCTTTCTTACTGCTGCGGAAAATGTTCGACAGACAATGGGGACACACCAGCGACATATTAGTGCGGACACCGTGCGTCGACGATTGGCGAGCAGATACCTCCACTGTCACAGGCCACACCGAGGACCCATTCTGACACCACGTCATCGCCTGGGACCGTCTTCAGTGGGCAACACAGCACCAGCATTGGCGTCACCAGCAGTGGAGAAGAGTCCTCTTCTCAGACGACAGCCGTTACTGTATCTCAACAGAGTTAGCAGAGAGACAGTCTGGCGACGCCGTGGGAAACGTTATTCGGATGCTTGTGTTGTTGAGAGATTCGAGACGGAGCATCATGGTGTGGGGTGGAATTTTTTCTTGCACAGAGGGTCGGCCCTGTGGTCTTCCAGAACATCGGTCCAGGGAGAGACAATGGTGTCACAGCAGCTCGGTACATTGATCAAGTCTTGAGGCCACACGCCTTACCTCATTTGGCAAGTCGCCGCAACCATGAGTTTCAGCGTGATAACGTCCGTGCTCACACTGCGAGAGCAACAAGAGATTTCCTCAAGCAGAAAGGCATCAGAACCATGCAGTGGCCTGCCCTCAGTCCCGATTTAAATCCCATTGAGCACCTGTGGGACGAGATTCAAAGACGACTGAATGACGTCCGACCAAGAGCGACAACTGCAGCTGAACTGCGTCAGGCGTTCCCTAGAGCGTGGGCTCAAGTGCCTATGGCCTTCATCAACCGCCTCATCCATTCCATGTATCGACGTCAGTCATCAATGCACATGGCGGACACGCGAGATACTGACTTGTGATGCCATTTTCTCAGAGACTAGTGTTGTGTTTCACTTTCAGAATAGTTGATACTTTAATTTCAACCTTGATGATCAGTTTTGTCAAGTTTCATCTTTTTGATTTGTCTCAATGTATGTTTACAGCGTTTGGACAAATAAGGTTTCTCACATATATATATCCATGGTGACGTTTCTTTTCTTTCAGTATATGTTAAAACTGAACTGTTTCAGTTTCAATAATACACAAAGGCATCAAGGTCACACATGACATGATCGAGAGCTGATATTCAATGACGTTGTAATGTTTCGCCATACAATGTGGGGCTTGAGAAGAGACATACCCGAAACACGCGATAAGAAGGATGGGAATGATACGGTGAAGCGACCAGCGAAAGGAATCTCTCGAAGTCTGTTTGTGAAGAACATCGTTTAAGGCGAAATGCGTCTCTTTGTTTGATCTTCACTGAACGTCATACGTGCATATAACGTTGCTACATGATGCATTTTGTTATCACAGTAGTGATAAAACTAACGTCGATTTGTCCAGTTTTCCCAACTCACTCACTCACTCACTCGAAAAGACAATGTAACTTCATTTGGCCTGAGGCTGTCGGGTAGCCTGGTGGTTAAGGTGTTCGCTCGTCACACCGAAAAACCGGGTTCGATACCCGACATTGGTACAACGAGTGAAGCCCATTTATGGTGCCACCGCTGTGATGTTGCTGGAATATTGCTAAAAGCGGCAACTATAAAACCATACGCATTCACTGTTTTCGGTCTAACATCGAACTAAGGATAACTCGACATTTTTTATCGATAGTCACCATTAACAGGGAATCACTGTCACTAAATAGGAGAACAATACTTGATACCCTTTCTGCTTGATAATCACTGTCGACTGTGACGCAGCTTGTTGCACAACGACGTTGGTACTTGTTGCCAGTTGCGTAGTCTGTTGTTGCATCATCTGCAACATCAACATCAACACTCGCTCAAATGTAATACTGAAACGTGAGTGAGTGAGTTGGGTTTAACGCCGCTTTTAACATTTTTCAAGTTATATCGCGGCGTGTCAGCTAATGTGGGAGGAAAGCCCGAAATGAGGCAGGTCTCAGACGTTTACCACTTCGGTGAAACCCACGAGCACGGGTATGGTGCTGAAAAATCTAGAAACATATTCGGGGCGAACCGGGATTCAAACCCACAATCATGGGTTTCTGGCGTGGCCAAGGGACGTGACTCTGCTCAGCGAATCTCGGCGCCTCAGACGACTGGGAAACCCGTGCCCCCTGTTATACTGTAAAGAAGTAACGTAAAACGATTCTGTTGAATATAATAAATATCACGCTGTCGCTGATATCGGCAACGTGACCGATATATAGAGATTATTACATGAGCGTCTGTCATTTCAATGAATGGCCCATATAAATGTATGAAAAAAATCAAAATCTTACAAACACTGCTTGGAGAGATAGGTAGAAATTGAAAAAAGCATATTAAAATAAACTTCAAACAACAAACTTACCATCGGGTTAAGTTGATTTTGCCCTGGGCCAATTACCTGTTGGGGTGGTCCATAGCCTTGTTGGGGTGGTCCATAGCCTTGTTGGGGTGGTCCATAGCCTTGTTGGGGTGGTCCATAGCCTTGTTGGGGTGGTCCATAGCCCTGTTGGGGTGGTCCATAGCCCTGTTGGGGTGGTCCATAGCCTTGTGGTCCTTGGACATAGCCTTGAGCGACCGCTTGAGGGGCTCCCGAAGGCTCATATGGTGGTGGTTGCGTTGAAGCAGCAGAATCCTTCGACATCCTTGCTTCGGTATAAAGTAGCTCAGAGAGAATCTTGAAGAGGGAAACATATTTATTTTCAGCTGGTAAAGACGGCAATTTCGTGCGTAAATATGGCTGTTCCCTTCATCATTTTTATTATTCATTTATGAGTGATTGAGTGAATTGGGTTTAACGCCGCTTTGAACATTACTCAAGGTATATCACAGCGTGTCAGCTTAATGAGGAAGGAAATCCCGCAGGTAACAGACGTTTACCACTTCGGTAAAACCCATGACCACGAATAAGGTGCTGACAAACCTAGAAACATAATCGGGTCCAACCTGGATTCGAATCCATAATCATAGGTTTCTGGCGTGCCCAAGGGACGCAGCTCCGCACAGCGAATCGCGGCGCCTTAGACGACGAGCGGTTAAAGCGTTCGCTCGTCACGCCGTAGATCCGGGTTTGATTCCCCGCATAGGTAAAGCCCATATCCGCCTTGTTAATGCTGAAATACTGCAAAAAGCGGACTAAAACCATACCCAGCCACTCATTTAGACGATTGGACCAACCGTGGCCCTTATACATGCACATTTATGAACAACAGAGCAGAATTATGAGACATTGTTTATTTCGCCTTAAATTAAGTGCACGCCGCATAGTAAATAGTAATAAAACATAAAACACATATCTTCATAATACATATAAATATTTTCTGTATCCCTGTTCACCAGCATGAAACATGTGCATGAAATCAAATTAAAGTAAAAAATATATTTGTAAATTAAGCAATCTAGAGTATTATCAATGTGAGACAAAATCCATGTTACATTACCTGGTATGTTAAAGGAAAAGCCACGCCACAACATACACAACCTGTGGTCAATGCGTTGCAAAGTCAAATCAATGGGACCCGAAGAGATTGATTAAATTTATAAGCCAAGATGGAAAAAAAAATTCCGAGTACTTCCTTGATGTCGACGGCATGAGGATAACTTCTACAGTTGTAATTTATAACATTATGTTGTCAATACCTTTTTTACGGCGATGTGAGAATTTTTCCCCCATATTTCATCCTGGTAACGGGGGCACGGGTGGCCCAGTCGTCTAAGGCGCCGCGATTCGCTGTGCAGAGTTGCGTCCCTTGGGCACGCCAGAAACCTATGGTTGTGGGTTTGAACCCCGGTTCGCCCCGGTTATGTTTCTAGGTTTGTCAGCACCATACCCGTGCTCGTGGGTTTCACCGAAGTGGTAAACGTCTGAGACCTGCATCACTTCGGGCATTATTCGCTCTATATGACGGTGGTCTGTTAAAAATCGCGTTTGGACAAGACAATGCAGTGATTGGCATCATAAGCATCGATCCACGCAATTTGGGTACGATGACATGTGTCAACCAAGTCAGCGAGCCTGACCACCCGATCACGTTAGTCGCCTCTTACGACAAGCACAGTCGTTCTTTTACGTCAACCATGGGTTGCTGAAGACCTATTCTACCCCGGATCTTCACGGGTCTCGCAAATACTGAGTCATATCTAAGGATACAAAGAAGCAGAAGAAGTAACTGAAGGAGTCAAATAGCCATTGCCACGAAGCAGTTACAAGCCATGGCATTAGATGATCTGGTGTTCGGGGAAAGGTTACGCATGTCCTGCTATACCCTAAGCACCCGTCACTCAAATCTCATAAAATATTTCGAATTCGTCCAGATTAACGAATAAATGGATTAACGAATCGTTATGGGGTGTTTGTTGCCTAACGCTGCGGCCAGCAAGAATACTTCCGTACAGGGGCGGTCGGGTAGCCTAGTGGTTAAAGCGTTCGCTCGTCAGGCCGAAGACCCGGGTTCGATTCCCGACATGGGTACAATGTGAGAAGCCAAATTTCTGGTGTCCCCCGCCTTGATATTGCTGGAATATTGCTAAAAGCGGCGTAAAACCATACTCACTCACTCCTTCCATATGACGGCGGCCGACAAACAGCAGTGGCGTATCTACTACGCATCTACAATGCTCAAAGCATTTGCTTACTATTTCAAACCGTCACAAAGATAAATTAAAATAAAGTATTGAAAAATGTACTATAGTGTGTTCTTCTTTCAGTCGTTTGTTGATACAGTCTGACCCGGCTACCGTTGTGAAGATCGTCGTGGACGAGGTTGTTCGATGTTGTTTTTACTTGTTGTATTATTTTTTTAGGATATCTGGATTTGATCCTGTGTCGAGATCGTGGTAGAGACATCTCTGTTTGAGATGTATTGAATGGGCCTGCTTATGCCGATCTGTGTTTGATAAGCGTACTGTTAACATGTTTCCTTACATTATTGTTTCGCCAAGCAACGCCCCTGTAAAGGGAAAGTCAGCAACTCAGACATTTGGGTATCTGAATATTTCTGAGCAGAATTACACCTCTTTTTACAACCTGACATCATCCATTTACAAATGTGATAAAATGAAATTTGCGATCCACTTCTTGGAAACAAAAGCCCTGTTAATTAATTTATTTAATTTCTATTTCAATTTGTGTAAGGGGTGGAAAACTTAAGGGTTTTAAAACTTGATTTTTTCTTTTCCTGGTCTGGACCAACAAGGAAATGTTTGAATTTGTCAAGATTCATCATATGTGATTCACTTCACAGTTGTCAAATATTTTCCGACAGTATCTGATTAGGCCTTTCTGGATTGTCAGAATGTTTGTCAACTGTTTTGACAATTTGAATTGGTGGTACACCTGCTGGACTCTGTAGAGACTGCTTATGACTATGGAAAGGGTTTTATTGCTTTTGTTATAAGGTTAAAAATGCATCTCAAAAACATTAGGAAATGATAACAAAGTTGCAATAGTAAAGTTTGTGGCAGAGAACTTTTAGTTTGAAAGGAATCGATAGATAAAAATCATTTCACATTTATCACAAGTGTATTCTGGACATTTCATAATTATCATTGGATTGGTTCCTGGCTATCGTCCATTGGTTAATGAAACAAATAGAGAGTTTCAAGGTATATTTCATTTGGAACTTCCGGATGCGTGTCACAAAATCAATAGAGAGATGAGCAATCTGGCACGTAGGCTTCTGTATTTTTCCGATTGCGACACACATCTGTTCAAGGTCAGATCTAACTTTTAACGACTCAAAAGGAGTTATTGTGACATGTGACAAGGACAGGTCAGGCTCAGCAAGTAGCAAAAATACTGTTTCCAAATAAAAATGTTATTTTACATTTGTTACGTTTAGGGTGATCGGGTCTTTAAAACAAACACCGGCATTAATGCTAGCGCTAATTAGAGTCTTATCTGTGGCGAGAAAAGATAGCACAGTTTTGTCGACTAAATTAATCGCATTAATTAACTCATTCACTCTACCATATGTAAGTATCAATCAAATGATAAACGGCACATTTTGTATTTAATAAATATGCCTCGATGCTTGGAAGATTCGTCTCTATTATATATGCAATTATAAGTGATATTTATTTATATTTTTCCCTTTCGCATTTTTTACAGTATTCCAGTTATATCACGACGTGTCAGCTTAATGTGGGAGGAAAGCCCGAAGTGATGCAGGTCACAGACATTTACCACTTTGGTGAAACCCACGAGGACAAGTAAAGTGCTGACAAACCTAGAAACATAATCGTGGCGAAGTGGTATTCAAGTAGACACAAATTTAGCCTGACCCGTAATCGAGATCTGCAGATCATGTCAATCATTTGATTAAGTGGACCAATCAAAACGTTGAAACTACTTCCGCGTTTGGACGGTCCCCACTTCATCAGGCATTGCAACGCCACTTGTGTACTGCTGTGTCAGAGGTCGAACTGGTCGATAACGTCATCTGAAGGGGTAGTGTATCCCAGAGATGAAAGACTGTGTGAAGTACGGAGTGGAGACGATGCATTTCTTCAGACGTGATGCGTTTCTCTATCAAATAATTATGTATTTACTCAAAAAATTGTATATATAGAACAACAGTGAAATTAAATAAAATAACATTTTGCTTTAAAGTTTTAACATAACAAAATCAACAGATTATATGTCAGGTGGAAGGTCGAGGTCAACAAAACCCAATTTCATTCTTTAATAAACCTCCCATATCTCGACACACTCGATTACGACTTCACTTCAAGGCTGAGGGGGGAGGGGGGTTGACCCAGTCGTCTAAGGCGCCGTGATTCACTGTGCGGAGTTGCGTCCCTTGGGCACGCCAGAAACCTATGATTGTTGGTTCGAATCCCGGTTCGCCCCAATTTGGGTTTCTAGGATTGTCAGCACCATACCCGTGCTCGAGTGTTTCATGTATTCCAGTTATATCACTCCGTGTCGGTTTAATATGGGAGGAAAGCCCGAAGTGATGCAGGTCTCAGACGTTACAACTTCGGTGAATGCCACGAGCACGGGAGTAGTAGTACGCATTACCCAAGGACCGCTCCTGGCTTCTGATTGGTCGAGAGGATCACGTGACCTCTGTGAGGTCACATCCGGTCACGTGACCTGCGCATGCGCGCGGGGCATGATGGGACTTGCGTGCGCATCCAAGATGGCGGCACATCCGTTTCCGGTGGCGCGCGCATCCAAGATGGCGTCGCATCCGTGTCCGGTGGCGCGCGCCTTCAAGATGGCGTCGCATCCGTGTCCGGTGGCGTGCGCCTTCAAGAGGGCGTCGCTTCCGTTTCCGGGGAGGAGGGGGAAAACCCGGAGAAGCGCAGGTACAAGGGGAACAAGATCGACAGGATTGTTGTTGTTCTTTTGTTGTTCTAAAAATAGAAATAGAAAAGGCGGTAGTGGTGAAGGGAGGGAGGTGGTGGTGAAGGGTGGGAGGGAGGGGAGGGAGGGGAGGGAGGTGTGGTGGGGGGTTGGAGGGTCGTCAAAGCAAAGGAGGAAAAGCTGTCTTTCGGGAGAGATGGGTGGCCCTGAAAAGGGCCGTTTTGATGCTTACATGCATGTGCATTCCATGGTGCAAAGGCACGGGAGGACTTTCATTTCGCGTCTGACAGGACACCTACTGGTGTGCGTTAACCGACGCACGTAGGTGTCGTTCAGTACAGTCCCGCAGTACACACACTCGAAAGTCCCATCCCGTACCCTTGTACCAAGGGCATAGACGGGCAGCCCCCCTTGACATCTGGCACATTGCCACGCTGGAGACCATGGTGGTTGTGGTGGTGGTGATACTTCTTTCCACCCGGGCAAAGGTTATGTTACTCTGGCGATCTCTAAATCCAAGTTTTCCGACTTGATGTTGTTGCTGTTGCTGTTGCTGTTGCTGCTGCTCATCATGATGAATCAATTTTACAAGTGACACTGACCCACTCGAATCCACTCTTGTTTTATAGGAGAGGCACTGACACCCTGCCTCCCGGTTGGTTCGCCAGGCAGCAGCTCCGATTGGTTCGTTCCGGGGCCTGGCCCGCACCTCGGTTTTCCAAAACGGACCGACCCCTGTGTTTCTTTTCCATAGGAAATGGATTTTACCATGGGAGAGAAAGCACAACCCCGGTTCGGCCAATCAGAGTCCCAGCCTCAGCCGCACCCCACATTGGAAACAGCACACACCATCGGCACCCTGAGTGTAGACAAAGCCCGCATGGGCCATCTCTTCAGCAGTCTGATACATTTGCGTTGGCCACGCCTCAAACAAAGCGAGCCTTCTTTCAAAGCGTAGATAATAGTGCGATGGCGTTTGACTGAGCAGTGACACCGCATCCTCGGCATGACTCTTTCCCCAACATCCACGAGTATCTGTACTATCCATCACCACATCTTCGCCACGCGTCGCCGTACCACTCTTCTTTGTTTCAGCCATTCTTGATAATTTTATGTAAAATACACTGACCCACTCGAATCCACTCTTGTTTTATAGGAGAAGAACCGGATCTAAAACGACCCGACCCCTGTGTTTCTTTTCCATA